ACACACACACACACACACACACACACACACACACACACACACACACATGGAGAGCAGCAGATTGACGGTGAAAACACACACTTGTTTGTAACTCGGTCCAGCAGCAGACGCTCTGAGCAGATGATGGACGACTCTCCTCGTGTGTTTTCACTCAATCGGAAACAAAACCAGCTTTTGGGATGAGCGTCGATCAACACGGAGAGTCTCGTGTCTGAAAAATGATGTCACAGTCAGGTTGTGTGTTGTGAAGGACTCTCAGCTACTACCACACCAAACTTTAGCTGAATAGCTCTTAAACTGGCTGAGTTGTACCCTTTTTTGTGTCAGTCAGTGTCAATTAGCTGTGGCGGCCATCTTTAATTGAATTGAGTCAACAAGTTAATCATTTGTAAAGGTGCCTCTAATAATTACTTCCTGAAAGTTTTGTTACAACTCACCCAATGGTTTCTGAAATATTTTGCTAACAGGCACACACACAGCTGACTCCAAATAGCTAATGGCAGAGTTTCAAACAAAGACCTTGTGCAACCTGATAGTGCTCAGATTACATGTTGGGGGTCAGTCTCAGCTACCACCACATCAAACCTTAGGTCTGTAAAACTGACTGATGTGTAGCCATTTTTCTGTTTCCTAAAATCAGTTAGCTGTGGCGGCCATCTTGAATCAAGATGACTCCAAAGAGTTAAACAGTTGTAGATGTACATCCAGTTATTACGTTCGTTAAAATATGGTCAGTGGTTCATTGGATATTTTGCTAACAGGCACCCGAACACCAAGAGATAAAAAAAATAATAAAACCATTATCGTCCATCTTCACCTTTTAGTGGCAGGTGATAAAAACACAACACGGTGGTTCAGTGGTCTGGTCAGCGTAACTCCTAATAAATGTAGACGTTTCTGTTCGTGTCCGTCAAACTCGGGCATGCAGGGACGTTTTTAGATTTTCTCCTCTTGCATCACTCAATCTGAAGTGACATAAATCAGAGTCTGCAGCGCTTCAAATCAAACCCTCTCGTAATGGCCGGATGATTTTAGTTGTTAAGCTTGTTGCGTTGATGTAAACAGCTGAAGAGATGTTGCCATGCGTGCACGACGTTGGGCCTGTAGTGACTCCTCGAGTGGCTCGGTGATGCTTACCTCTCAGTAAGTGGCACGGTGAGATTAGCCTCATTATAATCCACTCTGAGAGGATTGGATTTGTTGGGTTAAGGGCTAAAACAATAACCTGGCTAGTACGAAGCAGGTGGCAGTGGGGGAGGAGGAAATCTGTTTTTGGTGTTTCATCTCAAACACGACGCGCTGTTGGCCTGTTTTCTCTGCTCTTCCTCCGGTAAGATCAAATCCAAAAGTTTGGCATTATTTGAAGAAAGACAAAAAAATGGCTACATGCTATTTTTTATTTTTAATATGCTCGATCTTTCTCTCTTTCTCTCTCCCCCGCTGTGTGTGTGGGGTGAGTTCTGATAAACTGATCATATCAGTACGTGATCGCCCGCGATTAAACAACAAACAGATTTATTACTGGGGGAATACTGACGAGGACGCACAGCAGCTGAAGTGTAGTTTAAAATAACAGTTAACCACAAATAGGATTAAGTGAGTTCTACAATTTTTTATTTATTTCTTTAATTTTATTTTTTGAATGTCCAGAGAACCATATTGAGTTAATACGTTGGACACGCATCGTGCTCGCTTTCAACCCAGCTGAGTTCTGCTCCGCCTCTTTGAGTGGGACGTGGACACTTCACGAAGAACTGGTCTGTGCAGCCATTTCATTGTAAATGAGAACTGGTTTTTAATGGACCCACCTGGAACAGCAACTGGTCAGTCATTCAGGGGGACATTAAAAACGGTCAACATTTTTCTTTTATTTTGAAAAGCGTACAGCTTTGGCTGAATAACATTTGTGGTAAACAGGAGGCATAATGTGTCATTTTTGTTTATAATAATGTTTCATATTAGAATATAACTATTATAAGGAAGTAAATCTTGACGGATTTTTTTTTTAAATTACACTTTTGAGTTACATTTGGGATTTAATGCAGCAAAATGTTAAAAGATAATTGTTATACTTGGTTTATTTACATGATGACTTTAATTGCTGGATATCCGGCCCATGAGCTGTTCTAGCTGTTCTCTTTCAGTAACCGTGCCCCCCCCCGGAACAGTTTTTCTCTATGTTAGTGTGCGGCGACTCGGAGTTTTATTGTGAAGGTCTCCGCCGGAAGTCGTGTCGGTGTCTACTTCGACGGTTCTCGGATCAGAGTTCAGTTCAGCAGCAGCTCGGTGCGTCGGGCGGAGATGGAGGAGGATCTGACCGCTTCCGAGCTCCTGTAAACCGGACCGAGGAGCCCCAGCTGAGTCCGGGAGGCGGAACCAGGACCGGTTCTGGAAACTGAGCATCTTCGCTGAGGGGGAGGAGAGGGAGGAACAGAACCGGGATCGGCTCAATGAAAGCAGCCTCGTTCCGTTGAGGTGAGTCCTACCGGTTGCTGCCCGTTATTTAATTTTTTTCCCGTTTATTTTTATTTTCGGTCTTCATTTATTTTGTGCTGGATTTCTTGGAAACCCCATTTTGAACAGAGCTCTTGGAGCAAAGTCAGTCCCAGGACCAATCCAGGGCCTTGATGGGTTCTGATGATCCAAAGTCATTGTTCTGACTCCCATTCATGGTTCTGCAGTCTGGACCCGGAGCTGTCAGAGGCTGCAGCAGAGTCCCATTCATGAAGTCCACATCCTCCTCCACCTCCCCTGGAGGGCTTCGGAGGGTTCTGTGGGCCTGCACGGGCCCAGTTCAGGCCTGCTATTGACTTTCTCTCATGTAACATTTTATGGGCTTCACTCTGCAGTTAATATGAAGTCTGATTTCAACATGATTCAGGCCTTTTGGTTGAAATGTTCCTCCTCGTGGGAAGCCTCTGCTGACCTGGTCATCATCTTCTCATGTTTCAGTTTCTCCTCATACGTCATGTTTAACAACGATCCTTCTAAAATAAGAGATTTACAAAGTTCCACAGCTTGTTCCGCTGAGAGAAATCCTTCTTGTGACCTGATCGTGTGAGTCGGTGCAGAACAGAGCAACAGTCTGTGAACGCCTGACCAGTGACAGACGAGGATGTTGTCCTCTCTTTGTCTGATGGACCATGAGTCTTTGCTGGATATGTTCTTCTCAAACCCGTACATATTACTCAGTATTGATGGTGCCTTCCCAGATGTGCAAAAGGCACGAAAGCACCCCCATACCATCAGAGAGGCAGCCTTTTGAACTGTGTGCTGATAACAGATGGAAGGGTCCCTTTAGTTTTTCTGGAGGAAGTGGCGTGGGTGGTTTCTAAAAAGAATTTCAAACGTTGGTTTTCCTGACCACGGAACAGTCTCCACGTTGCCTCAGTCCGTTTTAAATGAGCTTTGGTTCAGAGAAGTCGGCAGCGTTCCTGAACGGTGTTCACAGTTGGCTTCTTCTTTGCACGATAGAGCTTTAACCTGCATGGACGGCACGGTGTTTACCGACAGTGATTTGTGGAGGTGTTCCTGAGCCCGTGCAGTGACGTCCAAACAAAACCTGAAGATCGTTCAGTCTCATCCTTTTGAGCTCCTATTCCTCCTTCTGATGGCTTTATGAACCGTTTGTGATTAGATATTTAAAGTCTAATTCTGAAATTATTCCACTATTTTTAGAGAAACTTCTTCTCACACTGACGAACATCTGCCCATTTTTACTTCTAATGCTCTTTTTTTAATGCCCGGTCTGAACAGATAATTAACCTAATTAGTTGTTAAATGCTCCTCCAGCTGTTTCTTATTCACACCATTTACTTTTACAGCCGATTGTTGCACGTCCCAACAGGAATGTTTCTGTGTGGAGTTTGCATCCGTTCACGCGTAAGGCTAGGCCTATCGTAATAAACAATACATCAATTAATCGCATGATAAATGAAAATGATCAACCTCATTTTCATTTATCGGCTTTATCGTTTCTTCGTGTCTCTCTTTTTCTGAAGACGCTGGATTTGTCCAAAATTGCGTTTTTGGATCGTTAAAAGCAGCTAAGCTGAGAAGCTAAGCTACGAGCTAAGCTAACAGGCCGACCTGGGGGGGGGGGAACCTGCGTCTTGTCGAAGCTCTAAAATTCATGGTTGAAACCCGTGCCTTTGTATAAAATGTTTTTCTCTGCAAAAAGAAGCTGAGAACTTGTTTACTGATTTTTTTATTAAAAGCTTAGTGTGAAAAAGGCTGTGCTAAAGAGCTCAAACCACACCGAGCGCCCGCCATTTTGAGAACTGAAGAGGGACAGCCCATGTCACGTCAAGGGGCCTCCCTCCCATTTTTCTTAAAGAGAGACGCTGCTTGCTTCCTCACTATCCATCCTTCGGTTCAAACAATCTTATACTGCATCCGGTAGTTGAAAAAAGATACTACACTCAAAACAAATTAACAAAAATTTCTTCTTAAATTTGACAATAATTATTAATTATTGTCAAATTTCAAACAATATTATTGTTTATCGCAATAATTTCTGAGACAATTAATCGCCCAGCGAAATTAATTATTGTGACAGGCCTACGTAAGGCTTTATTTTTCTGGTTTCCTCCCACAATACGAAACGTTAGAAAGATTGGTGTTTGTTTATTAGCAACCAAGCAAACATGATGGGGCAAGCGCTCTACAACACGGTGCCAAACAGTGCTTTACATACCTGTAATGAGCCGATCATACCTGATGCCTTTTTTGAGCGGTATTCTTCGAAAGACAACATTTTGACAATATTTTGATCCCTGTTTAGCAGGTGTTTCACAAGGTGTACTGTGTTTAATGAACAAAAAGCACCAGAATGATACAAACATTTAGACTGGTTTTAAATGTGTTGGCTCATCCAGGATAAACTCCGTCATCATTGTTTATCATCCCTCTCTCGGAGCGCCGAGGTCGCCCGAACAGATGTGCGGAGACAAAAATAGAGATGGGGAAGCGTTTGTCTCGGCAGCTGCTAATCCCTGAATCTGTTTACCATGCAACATATGAACTGTGCAGGCTTTTAAAACTTTAGTTGCTCTCTGACTGTTTTTTTATTTCTAATATCCTCCTGAAGATGCACTGATTGCAGTTTTCCAGACCGATTCCAATTCCTGATTTTTGTAAAGCTGGGACCTGTTTGTGGTGTTTTTGACTCAAACCATTATTTCAAATGACAAACACAGAGCTGGCCTTAGAAAAGCATAAAAGATGCTGTGCTTTAAAAAAAAAAAAAAGCGATGACAAAATAAGTCATAATGAATGGATTATACCTAAAACAGATTTTTGCCATAATTTAGGTTCACTTAAAAATGAATCCATATAGACACTGTCTAGTGGTCCCAGTAAGTAAAATACCATATAATCTACCTTAAATCAAAGTTCTCTAACAGGTTTGTCTTATGAAATAACCTTTAATACTTTTCTGGAGAAAATAGTTTTGATTCAACTAAACAAGTTTTTGCATGAGAATGGATGTTTTGAAATCTTTCAGTCTGGTTTTAAGCAATTACAGCGCACCGAAACAGCTTTAGTTAGGGTTTGTAATGACATTCTGTTTGCAAATGATTCTGGTCAGTTCGTTATACTTGTACTCCTGGACCTTACTGCTGCTTTTGATACTGTTGACCACAGTATCCTTATATCAAGGTTAGAACACTGGGTTGGGATTACAGGTGCAGTTTTAAAATGGTTCCATTTGTATCTAAGTGACAGGAGTTTCTGTGTTGTTTGGAAATAGTGTATCTGCATCAGTGCCTCTTTCCTGTGGGGTCCCACAGGGCTCGATTCTCGGACCCCTTTTGTTTTCACTCTTATCTGCTCCGTTTAGGATCTAACCTGAGGAAACGGCTTTTCATTTAGTTTTTATGCTGATGACAGATTGTTAGATTTATCTGCACTTAAAACCCAAAAGTTCTTGCTCCGTTCACCCTCTGGTAAAATGTCTTGATGACATCAAGGCATGGATGGCTTCAATTTTTTTCAAGTTTTAACGATCAGAAAACTGAAGTCCTTGTGTTTAGCCCTAGCTCTACTGCTGTCTCTGATCCTGCAAATCTTGACTTTCTTCAGCCTTATTTTAAGAAGTCTTTTGCGAATCTGGGGATGGTTTTAGACTCTGACTTTAATATACAGATTAACTCTGTTCTATATACAAGCTTCTTCCAGTTAAGGCAGATAGCTAAGCTTAAGCCCATGTTGACCAGATCTTACCTTACCTTACCTTTTTCACGTCTCCAGCTTCTCCAAAATGCTGCAGCTCAGCTATTAACAGAAGCTCATAGGTTTGAGCACATTTCACCAGTTTTGTCCTCACTTCACTGGCTCCCTGTACATGTCAGAATTGGTTTTAAAATTCTCCTGTTGAACTTTAAGTGCATTAATGGCCTTGCACCCTCATACCTCTCTGACTTACTTCAACCATTCTTGGGTCCTGAGATCATCTGACCAGCTGCTTTTGGTTGTACCAAAAACCAGACGGAAGCTCAGAGGAGATCGGGCTTTTTCAGTCGTGGGCCCTAAACTCTGGAATAAGCTGCCTCCCAACATGAAACAGGCCACTTCACTCCCTGCTTTTGAATCTCTACTAAAAACTCACCTGTATTTACTGATATTTAACACAGTATGATTTGATTTACTATTTCATTGTTTCTCGTTGTTTTTATGTTTTTATTTTTGATGCTTTTAATTACATTTTTTTTACTGCCTTTATAAATTAATGCCTTTATAAATAAACAAGTGCTTTATAAATAAATTTGACTTGACTTGGCTTTTCTTAAAAATTGACCATTTTCTCTGCCGGCTGGCATAGTGTCAGGAAATCCCTTTGTATAATGCTTGGTGTCATTGTTAGGCTTTGAAACTCACCTTCTTAATTAGAGCACTTGAACTTATGATCTACACCAATAAAAATCAAGTTCTCAAAGTGTAAGTAAAACTAGCTCTTTGCCAGGCGATTAATCGCTGTCAACAAACTGCGTGCCATTTTCAAGCTTTTGAGAAAGAAATGTTTGACAATAATAAAAACTCAGTTTTGAAAAAAATCATCATTGTGACTCCTTTTGCAGCACAGCTCACAAATGCAAAGACTAATATCAGATGTGATTCTGCTGGCGTCCCTGTTGCTGCTTTTTACATCAAGTCTGTCCCCGGGAGAGGCTTGTGGTCTTCTGTGGAGTTAGTTAGACCTGGTGGGTGAGAGACAGGAAGTAGAAGTCAGCGGTGCTGCGTGGATCTCCCACGCACTCTGTCCTTTATTAATGGTCGCTGTACGGATGCCTGAGCACACTCAACTCAATGTTTACGTCGTGAATGATCACCAGAGCACACAATTATCATTGTGTGTTTGTTTCCTCGATTTCTACACTAATGCAAATTCAGATCCAGTGTCTGTGTGGAGCTGGGTGTATCTGTGTCTGGGTCAGGCCCGCATGGAGTCACCCCCGCCAGTCTGACTGCAGATG